TATATTATTATAATTATTAAAAATACAATATTCATTGTCAGGACATCATTAAAATTCAATTATATTTAGAGGAAGAATGATCTGTTTAAATCTTTGTATGCTTCTACTGCTAATCGTCTTTAACTAGAACAATCTATGTAGTAAGATGTAAAATTACTGTCTTCTATAATTATAATGTTATAATGCAAAGTGGGTATAGTATAGAATTGAAAGCAAGGTATATATTTTGTTATACAAACTTACTAAATGACACTCATCTTACAGGTTTTCAATAAACTGCTAAGCTTGGCTAGCACTGCTTCATCTCAGAAGTTCCAGTCACATATGTGGAGTCAGATGTTGGTTTCTACATTTGGGTTTTTGAAATCCATCTCGAATGTCTCTGGCAAAGACATTCAGCCTTTAATAAAGCAGTGGGTGTATCCTTTTGAATAGCGGTTCACTAAAGGAGGGAAGGAAATATATATTGGTTATGTGTGGAAGGCGAAGGGGGAAGAGGATTTGGGGTGTGAAAGGAGCTAAGAATTATTTAAATGTCTCAATCATAGTAGAAATAACCAGGGACTATAAATCATTTCTTCTAAGGTTGCCTGCTAATCATTGAGATATACACACACACACACACACACACCTATATTTGTAAAATCTGGCATACTTGAAGTACTTTTTAGTGGGTGAGGTGAGTACAGCAATAGGCTTGATGGTAGGGGAGGTAAATAATCCACCAGACAGACCTGTAGGGTTACTTGTAAAATAGAATGGTCTGGTGACTTTTAGATGTGGTTAGAGGTTGGCAGAACCTGAGTGGTATTTTGGAACTTCTCAATTTTTACATTTTCTCATTTCAGAGCAATATTATATTAATAACTCAGTAGAGTGGTTTTGCTTCTTTCAAAACAAATTTATTAATATTTCAGAAATTTTGCTTAACTCTGGGAAAACATTTTTCACAAGAATTTTGAATACTTTGCCACCTGGTTTACAATAAAGTATGCTCTCAAGCTTTGAACTGGTGGGAAGGCATTTTTTGAAAGTTTTACTGACATAATGAATATTTGTTTAGTACATATTCATATCAGTATGCAAAAATTCCTTTACATGTCTTCAGAGACCAGAGTGGAGTGGTAAAATTTTATGGAAGTTTTGCATTTAATAGAAAACGAAATGTTTTGGAATTGGAAATAAAACAAGATTATACATCTCCTGGAACCCAGAAATATGTGGTAAGTCTTTTTTTCCCCAAAATGGCCTTTTGTATTGCTTTCTCCCCAGTTTCAATATAGGAAGGGTTTATGGTTAGGGAGTGGTTAGGAGTTTCATAATGAGATTTTGTTTGCAAAGAATCAAATGGAGAAAACAAGTATCAATGAAGAGAAGAGGGTACAGGTGGAGATGGAGATTTTAGAGGACACAAATTTTCACAATTTTCCCCTCCTTGGTACCAGCTGCCTTTCTGTGTCTACAGATACACGTCATGTATAGTATTATTTTATACCTTGATATATATACCTATACAGATGAAGAAAATATATTGCCATCTTTCTAGCACAGAGTTTCAACAGCATGTTTCTTTTTAAAGGGACCACTTAAAGTGACAGTGCAGGAGTTAGATGGATCCTTCAATCATACATTACAAATTGAAGAAAACAGCCTTAAACATGATATACCCTGCCATTCCAAAAGCAGAAGGTAAGCATTGAATCATTATAAATTGAAGTTTATAGTTAAATTATAAGTCTCACGGATTAAAATGCTAAAATAAAAATCCTAATGTAACCTAATTTTTTAGGTAGAGAACATGTTATCTAGCATTTTTTTTTCCATTTTACTTTAAGTTAGTGTTACCAAACATTCTTTATTTGCTTTCTGTTCTTGACAATATTTTTATCCTTAGAATTAATAAATTTTACAATTTGGGTTTGAGAATCCTTATTTTGTTGGGGTATGGGAGGTGGAATGGAATTTGAGTGTTTGGAGCCAGGAAAAATTCAAGGCAAATTGAATTTGGAAACATGTCATTTGGAAATTCTTTGGTGTGAGGAACGGAACGTAGGAAGACTCTTCTCTGTTCCTATTTTTAGTCATCCTCACCCAAGTTTTTAGTGTGTGATCCAGTAGATTTTATAATTCAAGAGTAATTTGCATGGAAGCAGTTGCTTTTGTTTTGCTTATCTTAAGTCTTCTGCATGTTAATTGTACATATACATTATTTGCTATTTATTACTGGATGTTTTATAGTTAATCATTTCATATAGNCAGTGTCATTGGTCCCCATGTGGGATCCGAACCGGGGCCATGCTGCTCAGAGCTGGCGTCCCAAGCCAGCTTTTAAGCAACGCGCCACTTGGCCGGCCCAACATGCCACGTTTTTAAGGAAGTATAATGACTGCTTTTATACATGGATTCTGAGAGTATAATTTGGTACAGGATTTTGAAAGCTAATTTATTGGTATCAATCAAAATTTTAAAAAAGGTAATTTTTAGATTCAACAATTCTACTTCTAGGTATGTAATATAGAAATTCTACTTCTAGGTGTTTGCTATACAGAAATACTTGCAACATGTGTGAAAAGATATTCACTACGGCATTATTTGAAATAGTGAAAAATTGTAAACATTGTAAATGTTCATATACATCATAAATATTTTCTACTAGACTACCTTTCTTTTAATTTACTGATGACCTCTTTTATCATGTCAGAATTTCTAATTTTTTACATACTCAGTCTGGTGTTAATGTCTCTGGATTTTATATTTTTCCTTTAGGTTTTTCCACCCCAAAATTATGGAAAGCAATTTTTAAAATTTATTTTCTTCTAGTACTTTTATAACTTCCTGTTTTAGATACGTAATTTATCTTGAAATTATTTGTGTATAGGCTTTAACCTTGAGATATTGATTGGAATTGCATTGATTGTATTGATGAAAGGGTGCATTGAAATATTTACCCTACTCTGTCTTCCTAGCTAGAAGCTTGGCACATGTTTCCATTTATTCAAGTTTTTCTTTACGTACTTTCATAAAACTTCATCATTTTCTTCCAGTTAAGTCTATTTTTGGATGTTTCCTACTCTTTGTTGCCCTCATACTAAGGAAAATTTAAGGTAGTTTCATGAGGATTTTAATTTATTGTCTTGATGTGGCCATGAAATTTATTATATATTTAATATTCAAATTTGTTATAATGCATAAATCTGTTTATTTTTTAGTCCGGCATCCCATCTACACTTTTCAATAAAGCATCCACATACACTTTCCTGGGAATATTACACTATGTTCCAGTGTAAAGCTCACCTTGTGATGAGATTGATTGAAAATAGGATCAGTATGGAATTTATGCTACAAGTAAGTCTAAGTTAAGAATTTAACCATTGTAAAGCAAGATCTGTTGTGCATGTGTATGTAATCTGACGACTATTCTGTAGGCCAGGAGGAGGGCATCTGGGTTTACAGCTGGAGTTCTACTTCTCGTTAGCTGTTCACCCACTAAGGTGCCTGCCTGTGCTTTTTGTGTTTCCTCAGAAATAGAATGGATAGCAGTGCTTGACCCACTTAGTACAGGTTTATTATGAAGATAAATTAGAATGTGAGGATGAAAGTAAAACATATTTATGTATATGATTTTGTGCTTGGCATTATTTAGAATATTAAGGATTAAGTGCCATTTAGAAATGTTTTCCATAGAAAAAAGCAAAGTATCTAATAATAAAAGATGTTCATTTTTGCTATTGATAAATTCTGCTATGTATTTTAAGCAAGTTTTGGTGTAAATAGTTGAG